ACAAATGTAGATAAGAACTTTTATTACCGGCATATTTTCTGTTTTTAGTAGTAGATTGATAAAATCTAGATCTAATGCCCTTTTTATATCCCATGAACTATGCCATTTTAAATTCTGTACATTTACGACTCACTCTGGCTATACAATTTGCAACGATAAAAAAACCTACAATGTAATCCATTCCTTTAACGTGCAATTAACATTGGCGGAACATATCTCGAGACCAGGTCCATTGGCCAGTGCTACGTTTCCGCCGTAAAGAGTTCAGCTCAAAGGCAAATACTGGTTTGGTAGATCATATTTCTTAACCCCACTGGATCTAGCCCCCCCCCCCCCATTGTGGATCAATTTAAGAATTGAGTCCAATGTAAACAAGTTCAGTTGAAAATATCCGTTGTTCAATGTGCAAACTTTGAGGGCGAATATCTCGAGAACTGTTTGTCGGAGGAAATAACTCTGAAAGGCAAAATGAATCGACTGGACGAGATATATCTATTGGCGAAGTTGAAGCAAATATCTTGAAAATGAAGGGTACTCTCAAAGGGCGAAAACATCATCTACATATTTACTGGCGATGTATTGGAGAAAGGAAAATACAATTGTTCTTGTATTAATAGCGTAGATTTTAAATATATATATATATGTCGTAGTCTTTTAGTGAAATCCGTCATTTCACGAAACGCCTAGTCCGAGGCCTAGTCATTTAGTGAAACGCTGAAAATTTGTACGTGTGGGATAATTTCCCTTCCCCTTCTAGATCGATAAGGATACCATTTATCGATTTCCAATGGGGACGGAATCCAATCGCTTGGCCCTGGAAAGTACACTGTGCCACAGTTTCATATAAATGACTAGGCGTTTCGTGAAATGACGGATTTCACTAAAAGACTACGACATACAGTGAGTTTTTTTTAAATGCGAACATAGGAGTTTGCATGCAATGTAATTTCCCTATGTTCGATTTTAAAAAAAACAAATCAATCTATGAGATGTGCGCGGTTCACATCCCCAAAACGCGCAATTTGTGTGACTATGAACAGCAACTCATAGTCTTTATGATGAAGAGTACTCGGTAAGATTCTTTTAATTAAGCCATGTGAGGCCATAGCAACTTTATGATAAATTTTTCTTTAACTTACGATAACTTGACTTCTCATGGCACGCGCTGACATCACAATTCATTGTGAACCAACCTTCAATTATTTGTAGGTCATGTGCACCTGATATTCTACTAATTTGATTTATTCAATACATAAATAAAGAAAATAAATAACGAAAACAATCACAATAAATGTTCGAAGTGTCCTTCTTGACATTCTAAGCAATAACCTAACCGATTTCGTAATTAAATTGGACGGCGGCATTTTAAAAAATGTGACAGCTGCCAATTGTATCTACTACTCATTTGAACTACTCAATAGATTGATGTGTTTTTTTTAATCGAACATAGGGAAATTACATTGCATACAAACTCCTATGTTCGCATTTAAAAAAAATTCACTGTATATACAATTTATACTTGTTTTGTATTATCTTGTTGATTTGCAAGACGCTAAACTGAACTGAATTCCTTAAATCCTTATAGTTGTAGGTATACACTTCCTTTTTTACCAAAAATCGACTACACCAAAATTCAAAGGGCTGTAACTTTTGAACTAGAAGCCCAATCTTGGAACTGTTTGAAATTATGGATTCTACAGGCCACATTCTATAAGAAATTTTTTTTTTCGGGTCGATCTGACACAATTTTTTTTCGGGCCTCAAAAAAAGGCAGTGTTTAACCTTCCTTTTTTACCAAAAATCGACTACACCAAAATTTCTGGGAAAAGCACTTATTCTTATTAATTTTGGTGCGTAGAATCCAAAACAATTCGTACTTTTTTGATCAGACTTCTCAAAAAAAAGTTATAGACTAGAAACCAATTTCGAAAGAAAATTCAAAGGGTTGTAACTTTTGAACTAGTAGCCCAATCTTGGAACTGTTTGAAATTATGGATTCTACAGGCCATGTTCCATAAGAAAATTTTTTTTGATCTGAGACAATTTTTCTTTTGGGACTCAAAAAAAGGCAGTGTATAACACTTCCTTTTTTAACAAAAATCGACTACACCAGAATTTCTCGGAAAAACACAATCCTATTAATTTTGGTGCGTAGAATCCAAAACAATTCGTACTTTTTCGATCAGACTTCTCAAAAAAAGTTATAGACTAGAAACCAATTTCGAAAGAAAATGCAAAGGGCTGTAACTTTTGAACTAGTAGCCCAATCTTGGAACTGTTTGAAATTATCGATTCTGCAGGCCAGATTCTATAAGAAAAAATTTTTTTCGGGTCGATCTGAGACAATTTTTTTTCGGGCCTCAAAAAAAGGCAGTGTACCTAATCGATAGAGTTTGTTGTTAATCGCGTTCTCCCGGCTCTACCGCCGATTAGTGGATGATTTGAACACACCACATAATAAATCTCCACAGAGCCCTTCAAAGAAATGATTAGTGCTCCGTTTAGCAACTTATGTATGTTACGTTTTTACCTTCAAAAATTATAGTATCGACACTAAAAGATAAATTTAGCATCACATTGACATATTTCAGGTTTGCGCAGAAAATTTATTTACAAACAAACTTGGAACAATACACGATCAAGTCCCAGAAGGCATTCGTCAGAACTTTTAATGAAGTTAAAGATGTTGGTAAGTGGCTCGCCTTCCCCTAACAAGGTTAGGTGCCTTTTTCTATGGAGACATCACACGTTTCTGTTCCACTTACAATTACACAGGGAACGAACAGTTAATTTGATGATTAACTGTACTTAAAACTATGTTCTACATCTGACGTTAGTTCATTGCCATTCAGGCGGATGGAATCATTGGCAAGTTGCGTAAAATGGAAATACTAATTCGTTTTCGCAAATTTGTTGCTTGGTTTAAAAGGGGAGACTGTATAACAAGGTTTGCGGTTTCAAAGGGATGTGTAAATATATTTCATTCATTTTAGACGTAAATAGGTTGCACCCTTAATACTGCAAGTTTACGTAATAACTTTCACGCTTAAATTTTGTATGGAAAGTTAAAATTTGGTAAGTGGAATTCTTTACAAGTTTCCTCGCAATATGAACTGAAATGAAGCCCAAATGCTGCTATAATCAATCGCTACTTTACCCGTAACTACAACTTAGGAAACGAGTAAAATTTGGAATTGGCGTACGAATCGCAACAACATTCCAATCGAGGTTCCGCTAAAAAGTTAATAGGAAAACTTTTGACAGATCCCAAGGCAGTATTCAGAAGTTGAAATGTTGGTTACTGAAGAAATCTCTTATTTTATCATGCGGCCGATGAACAAATGCAAATTGATTTTAAGACATTGAATCAACCCGTCCACTAATCCAATTTCCCCCTTTTCTAATGAAATGTAAAGCAAATTGAAGAGACTGCTTCAAATGCAGTTACGTACTCGATCTAAGTTTAATAAATTACAAAATTTCATACTCAATCATTCTTATATGTCCATCAACTTCGAAAAACTAGATGGTGACTATACTAGCGTTTTGTCGCTTTTTTGCCGTTAATTAGTTGTGGAAATAAAAATTTTGCCGCTTTCATACTTTTCTCGAAAACTTAACGAGACACCACTGGAAAAAATAAATATATTGGAAAAGTAAATGATGCTTAATTTGCCACTTTTTGCCGTTAATGTATAAGTGCGATGGGTCAAACTACTTTATAAAAAATTGTTGTGGTTAGCACAGATACCACCCGCTCACCAGCGATTCTGCCATTTTATGTGTAAGAATATGTGTACCAAATTTGGTTCCAATCGGTTTAGCCGGAAATGAGAGTTTGACACTAGCGCATGCGCGATTCTCCCCAAAAGCTTTTCAGAATAAGAAAATAAGAAAATCAAATTTGCTTTACATCGGGTCAACGACATACCCACAGACCGACAGACATCATCGAGATTTTCTTTGATTCGGATTCCTAGTGCTCAAAGCGCGTATTTCCGTAAAAAAGTTGTGGGGCGGGGGTCATTTTTTACCCCGATTGCATACCTCCCTTACTAACGTGCGGGTTGTAAAAATGTGAAGAACTGTCTGGCTATCGACTTCGGTTTTTTGCCTCAATAATAGATATGTGGCATTTGAACCAATCTTGCATGCCCCAGTGTATCAAATACAGATCGGTAACGCAAAATTGCGTTCCGCTTTTGTGAAAAAACGCAATTTAATCCCATTTGCACAAAACAATAAAGCCGTTTATAGACAATAGTCAAATTGGGAAATGTTAACTAAAACAATAATAGTTCGAGAAATGTCAACCATTGTTTCGTTTCATCGAAATCGAACGGCCCTTTATTGTTGAAATTAATATAACCGCCTTGGAAGCGTAGGTTAATTTTTTGATATTATCTGCTATTCTCTCTGTAATTCCCCATCTATACCCAAAAGCGTATACCGTTACGGGTGTTTACCATATCTGAGAAACGCATCTGCATATAGGTAGGCATTAACTGTAATTCATGTTTTTGTAACTTACTTATGCAGAAAGGGTTGATTTTAATAAGCACGTGCAGCCAACATTTAAAAATCCAGGATGTATAAGCGAATGATTTCCGAAGACTCAGTTTAATTTAAAAATGAAGCTGAAAATCTCGGATTTTCCGTATGCTTAATTTGGTTTTATTTATAAAGGTGGGAAATAAAATGAGATTTATGAAATATGCATGCACATTTTTCGCTGCCTGTGCTTAAGTTACGGTTTCTGCTAATATCCATTCAATGGTAATTCGGTCTCGGTCTGCAGTTTTCTTTTCAACTATCGAATTTTCGATTACGAATAAATCGATTATAACCTAAATAAATCATTTCAGTAGCTTGATAATGTCGTAATAGGATTAAAGTCATCAGGATTAAACATATGTCGGATTAATAACTTTTGCGCAACTGACCATTAGCAGCTGTACTAATTGCTATAAAAAGAATTTTAAACTACCTTTTTTTTTCAGGATATGTCTGAATATAAATGCGATTCCGGGAAGCCACCAGTTTATGTTCCTCATAAACCCGTGTCAGCTGTGATTGGGGCATCTTTCAGCGTAGTATCCATTATGGTTGCAAATATCCTCCGCCTTTTTAAGGTAAGCCGTGTATTTAGTACAAAAATTCCTTAATTTGAAAGTAAAATTTTCACTGAAATTTAAATCCCCTGTACATAACCTACTCACTTGCCACGGAAAATGTGAATTTAGAAATATCTGTTCCAGATTGATGGCTTTATTGAGAATATATAAAAGTCGGTTGTCGGATTTCTTTTGAAATCCAATCACGAAGTTATCTCAAAGTGAGTTTATCGGTCATTCTGGATAGGACATTGGAAGGATATGTTTTATGAAACTACTTATTAAGCTTCCGTCAAAAACTGAATCACTTACCTTATATTCATTACATTCTAGAACGTTATTCGGTTAAAAAGATATGCTTCCAGAAGCAATCAACTTCTTCCTCATCTTTTGGATGCTATAAGTATATTAAGACGGGATGGCAAAATTTTTAGCGATACAAGGTAATACAATAAACGCCATTTTAACTTTTCACCCTCCTGTGCCCCCTTTCACATTGTTCCAGTCAGGGCACGGGTACAGGGACCCCCATCATGTAGTCGGTGCCTATGATTCGGATAGCAACCAACATAAGCTTTCACTTAACGGTGTGAAAAGAGGGGCCAAAATTTCCGAATTTGCCCAAAGCAAAAATAGACCTTACCACGCATTTTTTGCATTTATTTTTCCACTAGGTACTGAAACAATTCTACTTACAATTAAATAGAAAACCCTCTCATCAAGCAGAAATGCGAGTCAATAAGGGTTGAACAATATCATCTCTCATCATGATATTTCCCAACAGATAAATGCTTCTAGATTACTATCACCTTCCTTAATCGATTTTTTTTTATAAATTTCAGAATTGCAAAGTGCCGAATATTGGAACGTAAATTTAAGTACGTAATTTATTTGTTTTTTTTATTTTTTTTCGACATTGGTTTCTAGGCCATAACTTTTGATTGAGAAGTCTGATCGAAAAAGTACGAATTGTTTTGGATTCTACGCACCAAAATTAATAAGAAAAAGTGTTTTCCCGAGAAATTTTGGAGTAGTCGATTTTTGGTAAAAAAGGAAGGTTAAGTATTCAAATACTATGCGAAGTATTCGAATACTTCTCAAAGTAGCCAAATACTTTGCGAAGTATTCGAATACTAAATATTTGTGAAAGTATTGGGTTACAAATTCAAATACTGCTTCCATAAAAGTATTTAATTACAAAGTATTTGAATACTTTAAAGGATTTGAATACTAAAAAGTATTTACAAAATCGAATACTGCCCAGCTCTGCTTCAGCGTTGAAATTGGAACTGACCGAAACGCAATTCGATTCGTCGCTCCCGAGTATTCTAGAATGTTCTCACGTTCAAACACGTCGTATTTCCTCGGAAAGGTTGCGTCACAACTGTCTTCGCTCTTTATCGCCGATTCTTTATTTTTCATGGCGCCTCGGGATTTCTGGAATATTCGCTACAATTTTTCTTGATATAAATTCTACTGGTAATCGCATCTAGAACAGTTTTGACTACCACAAACGGCATTTTTAGAGAAATCATCTACATTTTGTTTTTTAACTGCGTCGTGCGGAAGCAATGCGGTGAACGGGTTTTTCCAAGAAATCCCAATTGTGAGTTGCCTCCGGCCCATCATTATGGGTGTGAGTATGGTAACTGTCAAGTTAACGGTTTCTGAGCAGCTTGAGGTTTCTGGCAAACTGCTTTTCTGGAGATGTTGGAAGAGGGCCGTGGTCATTATATACGGGTAGCTTGTGCGAAATGTTAAGTGAATCACCCGAAGTTAGTACTGGGTGAATATTTGTTAGTGAAAGAAACTGCCATTAGGACGTGTGAAAAAAATTGCCATGGGACAACTCGCTGCAAGCTGCGAAAAAAACATAAAGAAAGAAAGAACGAAAGAAAATTAGACAATAATTTTTGGAAAGGGGTTTTAGGGCTGAACGTTTTGATGGCAAATGTATCACCTGCCTGTGGCTTACGGAATACGCCCCAGGAACAAAGGAAAAATTCAATGTTCACTTCTCTACCATGATCATGAAAATCTTCGGTTACTAGGGGGTATCCAGACCCCACGGTTTTACATTTTTCCCAAAACCTCTTTCCAAAAATAATTGTGCAAGAGCTAAGGGGTCTAAACGTTTTGTGCAAAATGTAGAACCGAGAGGCCTGGGGGTACATAATACTCCCTAATAAAGGAAGATCTATATGATCGTTGTAGATGTAGAACCGGTGGCCTGTGGGGTGTTCCATACCCCCCCAGAACAAGAACATAAACTATTTTCTTATTGCCCTCCCCAAGAATATTAAACTGGAATAATGAATCAAAAAACAACAACCAAAGGTTTGAATACAGAATATACTGTATAATCAAAAATCAAAAGTATTCGATTTTGGGTGCCGTGAATCTGGCGGCATCCATTTTGCATATCGCGTTCGCATACCAGGGGCCCTAAACCGCAAACGTCGGAAATGACTAAAAACGCGATTCGCATTAAAAAAAGTTGAAGTATTTTACTGTGGGTGCCGCTCCCGTGAAGATGGTGGCACCAATTTTACATATCGAGTTATCAAACAAACGTAAACAAGCGATAAACAAACGATTTGCATATACAAATATTAGCATATTTGGAGGTGGATGCCGTCACTTCACAGCCATCATATTTATCAATTTTCTGAAATCTATTCGGGTTAGTTTTCCAAACTTAGTCCTTCGCTGGTTACCCTGGACAAAGAAATCTTGGAATGGGGTAGACACTTAATGTCGTTATTTTTTGGCCCACATGTGTATATTTTGTGTTGCTCTGAAAACTAAAAAAATCAATCGTTAGTCCGCCCTATATCAGTTTATTAAAGTTATTCAAGTAGGTAACTTAAATCATTTTCTATATTGGATTATTTGCACGAATCCTAAGAAGATGAGCTTTTTGGGCGTTAATAAGTTTCAATTAGCACAAACTAGCTAAATACAAAGTACCAATCTGATTTAAAATTAATCACGACGCAAACATACAAATGAATAATTTCTACGTTCTCATTAAATTACACGTTGTTGAGTCTGTAAATAAATTTTGCTGGGAAACTACTAAACGACCCACATGTAATTGGAGATTTATAAATACAGTGGCACACATTGTTATTTGACATATTTCACGTTTAGAATAAAAAGGTCCTATTTAATTTATTACAATCCTCCAGAGTCCGCACTGTGAACGAATTCATTTCAAATTAAACTGAATTCAACTTCTAGTCATTCATGAAGCATTCTCAACGGCAGCAAAGTGCATTATGAACTCACAAATTTCTCTGTTCAATTCAGATTGAAATCTTTCACGAGGCAGACTTTATTTTGCAGGAAATGACAATAAAGCATTAAAATGGTTCCGTAGTAAATTGGTAGCCTTATCTCAGTTGACTTGTTGCATAATGTAAAGGAAAATCTTAAAGGGCTGCATTAATTTTTAGCGTTTACCCATTTTAAATGCCCTCTAAGCTGATCTCGGGGGTTTAAGTTTTAATTACACAACTAGAAATTCAATTATACCGTTGAAATGAGATTCTATCTAAAATTGGATGGCTTTTAATACACTATCTATATGATGCAGGACCGTCAGGTATGGCAAAATTAAGTTTTTTTCAATTGCACGGTACCTTTTCAATTGAACAATTCCTTTCACATTTAATAAATACCAATTAGTGAATTGGCATAATATACAAAACTCCCTATATTAGTTAAACATACAGCAGAATATTTGCGTAACGTGCTTCGCGTTTTTTTCAATCTTGAAAGGCATAAATTAAACCATGTTGATACGCAAATATTTGTTTTCGTAATTAAAGAATTTTCCTACTCGTTTATAGGCTATTCGAAAATCAAACTTGTAGCGAAAGGCTTTAGATTATGCAACTTAGAGGCGATTCGCTGAAACTTCGTAAACTTCTGACAAATTCTTGAAGGATATGTTGAGATGAGAAGTACTGGAATCTTATTAATTGCCGCCCTTTGAAATACGTTCTGGCAATTTTAGTTCCCCAGTTCTAAACTTAGTAAGTGTTATCTTAATTAGTTACCTCGTTAGAATCGGTAATTAATTTTTACTCGTGCGAATAAGATCAATTTCTAGCTCATTGATATTGTTCACACAAACTCCCTTTGATTTCAACGAGTGTGTTTTTTTCAATTTATTTATTTTGCTGTTGTTTTTGCATATGCAAGACTAATGACCAACGTAAACCGAATTGCTTATAGACCGTGTGCTTCAATTAATATGCTGAAAATGGGAGAACTACCCTCTGGAGCAAAAAACAGTTTTTTTGAAGGCAATTTTCATTACTTCCAACAGAATTGTTGAATTCTTATCGATTCTGTAAAGAGACCATCTAAATAGCGTTTAAATTTTTCGAATTTTCATAGAGATAGGTAAAGTTGGACATTTTGAGGTTAGAGTATGCAGGGTGTCATAATTAGAGGTTGGTGGGTGATGACTAAGGTTAGCGAGCTGTATATACGCAGTGAACGTTCAATGGCTTTAGAAAATCGATGGTTCCAGCAAAAAATGTTTTTTTACTTTGCGATAGATTATAAAACTCCTTTATTTGACGCATTCTTTCTCGACCAGACACTAATAGTTTATGTAACTACAAACGTTATTGAGTTTTAATCCCTTTTCCGACGTTAGAATGCGTATCCGATTAGTTCTGTTTGGGTATTTGAAAGGTTTCACTTCTAATAAAAAAATTTCCGCAATTTCCGAAAGTCGTAACGTTTGGTTTAAGGAATCGTTATGGTTAAAAAATTCAAAAAATCTTCACAAATAACATTTTGTGCTTTTAACTAACACTGGGTTATCGATGACAATATTAACCAAAAAAATATATTAGCTTCCTCCTGGTAGTGGGACTAATCGCCGCTTAATTACGGAGTGAAATTTTGAACGTCCACAAATGGCGATTTATTTTCAAAATGGCGATGTCTGAATGTTCATTGGTTGCTGTCTCTCTTACTACCAATCTCAGATGGTTCTA